AATAATACAAGCTGTATTTATAAAATGACGGTGAATATTTTTTAGGTACTATTTTTAGAAAACAATCAATCATATTGAATATTATTGAATTGTTTGCCATTCTTCAGAACATTCACCAATGAAAACGAATTGTCGGATAACATATAAGAGACCGTGACTCTGAGTCTCTGAGAGACTCTTGTTGTGTATGTGACCTGTGACTTTTGAGACGTGAGTGGCAGTTACTGTGAGGCGTGAGCTGTGAGTCAATCAGTCAGTGTGACTGTGACCAGGGTTATTAAAACGGACAAATGTACTAAACTGTCCGGGGAAAAAAGTCTGTCCTTGGTTTTATGACCTGTTTTTGAGGCTGACCATGTGTCCCATTCGAAAAAGATCTGTTGTCCACTAGTAAATTGAAAATCGCCTGGTACATATTGACCCAAAACATTTGTCCATTTCAAGATTGATGCCTATCCGTTTGTTTGGTCCATATAATGCCCTAAATGGTTATCCGGACAGGACTTTTCTTGTCCCTTTAACAACCCTGACTGTGACTCAGTTAGTCTGTGTCCCTGTGACCAATGACCATGTGTGATGTGAGTCACTACTCTCTGCTCAGATATTTCTTGCTCATGTCCTGATTACTCTAAAGCTCCAGTTTTTCTCACTGGAATCCATGATGGCATCTGAAGAACACAGAACGCAAAACGATGAACGGAAAATAGATCAGGAAAATTATCATTGGCCATAAACGTTTCTAGAATGAAGGTATTTCCCGATAAGGGGATTTATATTGTTTTCCCGTTTTTAGACCCGAATACAGAGACTAAAAATGCGTATGTTCGTGAGGGATTTTTACAAACAAATATTTTTGGCACATGTATGGCTTGTATGTACAATGATACTTTTTCAGGTGACTGTTTCATGAGATAAATCTGAGAAAGAGTAACTACTTATCACTCTACAGTCTAAAGTCTAAAATCTATATTCGGAAATGAGTCAAAGGCTCAAAGCCTTCTTCAGCTATCTTGATAAAAATCCAAACTGGATTTATATCCTAAACAATTTAAATACAACCAATCATGTAATTTTTTAAAAATATATTGCTAACATCCGATAAATGACACTCAATAGTAGTACTGATTTTGATAAAAGTACCAAAACAAGCTAATTTGATTGGCGTTTGTGAACTGCCGTAGTATGACATCACTTTTAAAATAAAAATGGGCAGGTACGCAAAAGTAAAAGAAAGCAAGAAAGCAACTCGGCCTCGACGGCTCGACCTCCATTCCTCGGCCTCCGCTCTTTGTTGGTTGTCAGTGAGTGACAGCCTGACAGGGACTAAGCTCATCATCTTTATAAAATATCAAATATATTTACATAATGCAAAGTTTATACATATTTACCTTCTTCTTTTTTATAACATTTATGTCGAGAGTAGAGAGTGAGAGAGTCTGAGAGAGTTTCTCTCTTTTAGACTTTACTCTCTGAGAGAGAAAGAGTAGCAGAGTAGAGTCTCCACTATACTCCTACGAGCCCTGGGCGGCGGAGATTTTGGGGCTGGGACCCATGGGCCACGGGCCCCTGGTGCCCTGCGCCTTTGGTCGGATGGGCCCAAATATATTCCCTGAGCGGACACCGAAATTGATACTAGGCAACCAAAAGAGATTGAGCGTTTCAGATGCGACGACTGTCACTGAGTGACCTGGAAAATGTACCTATCATATATGAAAGTGTACTATTGAGATATAAAAGTTACAACTTTAATGTTTACTCGAGGCAAAATAAAAGTTACGCCTTTTAACGGTAGACCATGAGCCGGGCAACTCGGTTGAATCGGGCTCGGCATCTGATGGTTCCTCTAATTTTCTATTGATTGTATATTTTTATAATTGCAAGACACATAAATATATATATTCCTTTTGGCCTAGCTTCCATGAGTATAGGAGTCACTGACTCACACTGTAGGTCATGTTGGGGGGTTTTTTTTTACTACAATATAGTTTTTTACATTGGCTTTGCCAACTTCGCTGCGGCAATTTAAAAAAAAATAGAACATAGGAAAAGCTAGCGCTACGTTCAAAAGTGATAAATAGAATAAATAGAATATGTGAAAACTCCGATTGTTTTTATCTAATAATATTGACCATTTGAAAATGTTGACCGTATTGCTCTTCAAAATTGAAAATGGTCATTATAATAACCGCTGTGAGTGTGAGGCGTCGGGCCGACTCGGGCGTCAGCTGATAATATTTATAGTTTGTCGCTTGCTTGCTTGGTCAAAATATATTTTTGTACTGAAGATAGTATCCTTCATTTGTTTGTAATACCAAAAGGTTATTTGACAACAGACAGTTAAAAAAATATTAATTTATGAATCAGCGTCGCCATGGCTCACTGTCTCACTCGCCTCACTATTTTAATTTTGTTTTTTTTTAAAGTCATTTCTAAACTAAAAAGTAAATAATAATTAAAATAACCGTCTCACCGGCTCACCTCCTCACTCGCCTTCGATCTGCTGCCCCTTCTGACTGTGCTATTTTTTTTTTTGAAAATATTATTATTTACTTCCGCACAAGTATTGACTCAGAAGTCCCAACACTGCCAATATTTGATTTATTTTTGTATTCGTATGTGTATGTAAATTCTTAAAAAAAATTTAAGTGATAAATAAAAAACAATCGCCTGACAAGTGACGCCTAAAAATGCAGTGATTATGGAATATTCTGAAGACTCGAGGCTATAAGTATACGCGAATGTCTTCGTGATACCTTCATAATCCCTCAACTTATTGTTGCAATGGAAATAATAAGTTATTCTTTATACCACATTTATAACTATGACGATCTCTTGTAACTTTAGAAAGCTTCGCCGTAGGCTCAGATCCAGAAAGGACGGAAAAGGCGGAATGAAACTTGACGCAAATTCACCACTACCATCATTGTTGTCGTTGGTGGACATTGAAACTTCCGATACATCTGGCGATATGGTCACCACAAATTCACTAGCTGCTCAGTTTGAGAAGCGACGCGTTGTATTGATACTTCCCGAGAAACCCAAAAAGAGTCCCGAATCTATCAGCGAAGCATTCAAAATGGATTCGTCACCTCCAGCGCCAACGAGACCCCTCACATCCCGCCCACATCGGCCAGCACATTTGAAACTCACTAACTTAAATCAACCAAGTAGCTTGTCGTCAAGTAGGTTACAGGGCAACTGTACTGCAATTGAAACATTATCTGAATGTGAACCACACCCTCCACCTGTGAGCCCCACATCTAAAATACTACGCAGATGCGAATCTTCGCAAGCCAGCGTATTTCTCGAGTCACCGGTACAATTCACAAACAACGATTTGACACCAAAGAGTTGTACATGGCATCACGTAAATGCACTCCAGAAAGAAAACTCTCACTTGGAAGTACCGAGACCCCATACCATGCACAGGCTACAAAAAAATACTGAGAAGTCTGAGTCGCGCAAAAGATCATTTAGGAATACAATGCGAGTACATTTCGACTCAGAACAACACGAGTCTACGACATATGGTCGGGATTATGATCGAAGACCATACATAGCCGAGGATATCGCACAACTGCAAGTATATCACGAAGTAATGCAATTTAAACTTACAGAAATGAATATACATCCCGCTTCCGTACGCAACGTAAATTTTCATCTAGCAGCCACAACCACAGATAATAGAATCCGCATAATCCAGACGCTGGAAAGCATGCTGATAAACTATCATATTTCCAAGGATAACAAGGCGGATGATTGCAATGGCTTGGTGATGGTCGACAGTTTAGAGCTACTCAGAAATAAAAGAGGAATCGACTATGGAATTCGCGAGTTTAATGTAGAATCGGAGCTAGCTGGTGAGCTTCAATAGGTAAATTATAAACTGACAAATGGGAACAAAAGACAGCTAGAGACGGAATAAATCAGCCCAAGATATAACGCAAATTACATTATGTCGCAACCTGTATTCAAAACAAACTCACTATATATGTTGTGTGTCGTGTTTTGTTGTCCACGATCATTGATTGTAAGAATTCAATATCGAACACACTCTATTACTGGTGGTGAGTTATCATGTGTCTTAGGCAAGGCCCTTGTAACCCATGATATTTTATATCTATACCTAAATTATATTTGAAACCGACGTGTTGGGGAATAAGTGCGTTTCGCATACTTATGTATTGCCATTGTACTCATTCATAGCCATTGTACTCATTGTGTGATGTATAGTGCTACTATTGATTCTACTTTACAGGCAAAAAGTCGAGCAACTGTCTGTTGCGAATATAAACAAGTCGACGGGTACATCGACACGCGTATTATGGTAAGCTACACAGGACTACAAAACTGGAGTCGGTTCAGAAGCACGCGTTTTTGATATCAAATGCGATAATCTCCTAAATAGCAATACCGAAGGATATGAAAGCCCGGGGTACAAAGGAAATAACATACAGCCGCAATCCGCAACACGACAATAACATCGATATTGTTATAATTTAGTTTTTTTATTGTTATTGACTATATTGTCCCTCACCCGATAATCGAATATAAAATAAGTATTGAACCAGACCTTCTACTGCTGGCAAATTCATTCCTGTCTTAGACAATGACCTTGCCATCCATAATTTTTGTATCCCCAGATTATATTTCGGATCAGATGCGTCGGGAATGAGTGCACTTCCCATATCCAATGACAGTCATTGTGTGATATGAAATGCTTTGTGTATCTAGTCACTTCCTGACTTGTATCCGGCTTATATTCTTGGACACGGATGATCAGGTACACAAAATCATTCCCGATATTCCGTATATCTCCGTGATTTCTGGTTTGTATATATGCAAATAATTGCATATTCGTACATTTAAAACGTGAACTCACTGTGCATACGAAAACAAATGCGAGGGTTTGAATTCCAAAATGTTGCGCATATAACAGAGGCTTCCAAATACTTGTTAACGTTTGTACCGAATCGGAATCAATGCACACAATTGCGAACGATAGTAAACTAACCGATATGACAACCAGGGAACAGTCGCAATATGGTATATATAATAAAATGTGATCGCAACGTAACAGATTGTGAAAATAAATTAAATAGTGTCCGCAAATTGTGGTGGATACGATATTATTGTTTTCGAATAATATACGAGTATGCATATGCTTTACACATTCTCTTTCATAATATTTGTCAATATCTATGTCAACTTGACAATATCCCCGGTTGATATATATAAAATCATTATTATACTTCAAAGGTATATATATATAAATATTTATATATATATATATATATATTTATATATATATACATATATATATTTCTATATCTATTTTTAAATATATAAATATGTAACATAACATAACATAATATGATACAATATAAAATAATATAATATCATATATACATACACACATACATACATACATACACACACACACACACACACATATATATATATATATATATACTTAAAATAGACATAATTGTACAAGAATATATCTATATATAGATATAATTATCTTTCCCTAGAAATCTAGCAATCTATACATATATACAAATAGACATATAA